AGCGCAAAAATTGTGTCTATTCCCTTCAGGATGTTTCCGTGAACAACGTCTCATGCCCTGTCGGACAGGTATACTAATCTCCAAAGGGGGGTGATATCCGTCGGGGGGAACCAAGCCTGACGCACCCTCAGTTACATCTATGCAGTCAAGATCCGAGAAGCAAAGATCAAGCATGTTGCCCTGGGTGTTCGGGATACAGTTATATTGTCTTAAGTTCGTAAATGATGCGAAATTAAGCAAAAGATGAGATTTTTGAATAATATAGTAATGTTTTGAGGACGCAGAGGCTGTTTCCCAACATATGTTGGGGACATTAAAATCGCCAAGAACCATAAATTTAAATTTTTCAAGGGCGTTGGTTGTGCGCTCAATGCCTAGTAGACATTGGCTAAAATCATCAGGAGAGGTATCAGGGGGCAAGTAATAAGAGCCGAGAAGGATACGCTCGCCATTAGCGCATTGTAGCTCTACCCACACTGACTCAAATGATGTCTCGAGATCTGGACGCCTAACGCATTGTAACGACGTATCAATTGCTATCAGCACCCCACCCCCTGTCTTTTTCAATGTAGAGAATGTGCGATCGCGTCGAAATACTGTGAAATTTGGTGGGAAGAGATCAGATGAAGAAATATTCGAACAGAGCCAGGTCTCGGTTAGCACAATAATAGATGCATGAGTTAGGGTTACGTTAGAAAAAAATTCATTAGCTTTTGTGCGGAGACCTCGGACATTTTGATAATAAATGTCTAGTTTAGGTATCTGTTTCGGCATTATTGGAGAAAGGTGTTGGAGATACCGCTTGATAGGTACGGCTGTCAGTCAGCTGGCCTGTGAACTCCTTGAAGAGGCTTCCCTCTGGCCAGAGGAGGGGATCAAAAAGTTTCTCCATTTCGTCTTCCGCAGCCGTCACGTGGAAGGACGAGTAGCCCTCATACCGTGTCTTGAGCCGGGTGCATACGAGCTCACGAACAGGGCCCCGCCCTTGGATGTGAGCCTGAAGGCCTGCAGGATCACAAGATGAGCCGAGACGCGTCACGAACACAGCGCGTTGGTGACGTGGACGAGGGGGTGGCAGTGCCACAGGTATACAGCTGGCTGCCGCACCTCCCCTCAACAACGGACGCCTTGCCGTGGGGAACTTGTGTCCCGCCCCGCGGAACCCAGCCCCGTTAAAGTTGGATGGGTCCCGACGGCGTGGGTGCCCCGAAGGCTGGACAGGTTCAGCGAGGTCGGTGCGCGACCCGTTCAAGGTCGCAGAGAGACCGTCGACCGGCGCGCTCGAAGAGGCCCCCCCCGCGAGAAGAGGGGTGCCTCCTCCCCCTCGCGCCGGAGATAGCGGATGATGGGGGCTCGTCACCGCGGCGTAGGAAAATGGCAGCTGTCTTCCGCCGGCCGGCCCCATTTGGCTCCGAGTCTCGCGCACAGCTCTGAGTTCCGTCCGCAAAGACTGTATGGCACTCGCCTGCAGCTGGGAAGACTGCCTGTACTCGCGGCGAAGCTGAGCGTTCTCGTCCCGAAGAGCAGCAACCTCGTCCGTGAGGAAGGAGATCCCCTTGAGGGAGTCGAGGAGGAGGGCCCGTAAGGATTCCATGTCTGCGTTCTTTATTTTCGGTGCCAAAACCAACCACATCGGTCTTCGCTTTGGTGCACCAACACAAACAATAAAACCATAAGAAAATCCTAAACACAGATAAAGTTAAAAACAAATGTAGATTATCCAACTGGCGGCGGTACATTGTAACATATTCAGATCTATCAAAGTGAGGTGGAGCGATGGCGTTATATAATGACCGAATCCGAAAGCAAACAAAGAAGCATACAAAATGTCAGTTTAGACGTGAAGGAACATGAAAATTTATCCTTTTAAGGAGTTGTGGAGTTAAGATTCGAATCGATGTCGTAGACACTCGTTTCTGCCAGATTGTTAATTATTTCTTGGAAGTTACTCATAGTTTGGATTGGTTTCAAATTTACAAATAATGAAGCACGTTATGTTCATATACAAAGGCTTTCATACGCACGTCCAGCGATCGTCTGCTACAAAATATTAAAGAAATCTCAAGTAAAAAAACATTGCCCGCAATTGAGTAAGGAAAATCAACAGTTTATAAATATGACCCTCTTAAAGTCTTATCCGGGATGCTGTGGTAGTAGGGACAAACAAAAAATTATTAGTGATGCGCCGAGAGGCCTAGCACGAAATTTCGCCCTTTTCCGACTGCCGCTTCGCCAAGCACGCTAAGCCCAATAAGAAGCTGAGCTCGTTTGATACGTTCAATCTTCGTTTTTTTTTTTTTTTTTTAAAGAAGAAAAAAAAGTTTGCTTAGTCCTTGGGGAAATACAGCGTTCCATAACATAATGCCGTTATGAGATGGTCCGTTATTTCTGCTCAATTTTTGTGCTATTCCTGGACCTACCGGTCCTACTACATCGTGCCGTTTTGATCCCCAATCACAACTTAGCATGGTGAAGACATTCTAGCTTCTACAGTGATTAGTTTAGCTCTGAGTAGTCTGTGACAGATTCATATTTGGGTAACCGAGGGGCAACGTTAAGTTTCAGGAGCACTATACATATAATTACATAAATTATGAAATAATCAAATAATATTATATAAAATTATTTAATAGGCATACAAATGACGACGATCATGATATTCGCATCTTAAAAGAGAATTGAAAATCAAATAATATTATATAAAAATTATGTAATAGGCATACAAATGACGACGACCATGATATTCGCATCTTAAAAGAAAATTGAAACATTTTGTTTTTTTAATTACACGGATCTATAGTTCCCCCTTGTATTCAAAGGCGTTTTTGAAAAGGATAACTTTATTTGTTTATAAAGATAGTGTAACGTTTGAATAGGTACTTCTTTAAGCTTTTATTTGATATATTATATCTCATAAAATTGATATAGACAAAAGTTATAATGCAAAGGGAGACAAAGTTATTATGCAAAGGGAGACAAAGTTATTATGCAAAGGGAGACAAAGTTATCATGCAAAGTTATCTTCGTCAAAGGTTCCAGGTTCTGAATATTTTACCAACAACAAATAAAAACAACCGAATTTTTATGCATATTTTGCACCGTTAGTGTACTTTAAAAAGTGATGTAAAAAGTCACCTTCTACTGCGGAAGGTATATGAGCCTTGGGAAGCTCCCAAATACAGGATTTTTGACAATCGGCCAAATACCAAAATACTTCTTTGGTACTTTAGGAGCCATAAACTCGAAAACTAAAAATATAACGGAATACAGTTTTCAGTTTCCTTTCAGTAAAAATTTTGCCCAGCAGATATATTATTTTTTTCCGAAGAGGTTTTGAGATATGGCTTTTTCTTGTCTTGCACAATTTAAAATTAACTTGCCCATTTATAATTAGTTGGCACGTACTGTTTAACGCCACTACACGTTACTTGCGTTCGCACGTTTTTCTTGACAAATAAAACAACTACAATTATTATATAATAATATTTTAATCCAACGTTTGCGATAAAACTTTACGTTGTCTTAAAATATACTAATCAAGACTAAAATGTTTTTGTTGGCGGGTGTGTTGGCCCTGTGCAGTTGAGCGTAACTTAAGCAAAAGCCTAAAGACGATGAATTTCATGCTGCACATCTCACAATCTGTGCTCATGTAATGAAATACCTGACTAAAATGTAATGAGATGATTGACTAGAATATATCGACGTAAACATTATTATTATTCCCAAGTCCAATTACCATAAAATCTAAATATGACATCGACAGTTTTTGCTCGACCAACCAAGAGTGTCGCGTTGAACCGTTTGTATCAAACGAAGGCCGGTTGATACACCGGGTATAAAATATAGTTCAATATAGACTTGTATTAATTTATCGCGACTAAAATAAATGGAGAACTTGAATTGAAAAGTGACTACATTTCCAAATAATATATCTTTTTTTTTTCTGTTCTCGTAATTACCTTATGAAATGTTTTACCACAATGCCCATTTGCTGAGCACACGTTATACTGCGCACGTGTTTTTGTGTCTCGTTTATTTTTAGTGATATCTAGATCGAAAATAAAATTCCGACATTCAAAACAATAAATTGGGTTGTTCGTATGTTTATAGAGCCTAGAGCTTGGTCTGCCTCAACGGGGGACGAGTCTCCCAGCTGTAGATGAGAAATTTAGCTAGTGAAGTACAACCGCTAGCCTGGGGTCTTTAAAGTGCATCACGCAGTAGTGATACACGACTGCAGGCCGGTACAATGTTCATCCAGATCGAAACGGGCAGGGGTGGGGATTGAGCCCAGGATTCCTGGGTTCTGCAGCGCGAGCTTTCGCTCCACGTGCTCCGAGCTGGTGTGCGCTCGACCACACGGCCACCGATCCCCCCTCCGACATTCAAATTAGTTATGCATCGAGCTAATTTCTTTGAAGGAGAACTATAACCATAATTTTCAAGTAATAAACTGTACAACAATAATATTTCCCAAGTTGCAACAACACCAATGTGTTGTACTCAACGTCGAACCTATAATTCTTCTACGATAACCTTTATGGACCCGAGTACTTCGACAGCTGGACGCCGGTACGTAGTATTCTCCTACATTTTCCCAGCAATAAGCGTGAGTGTATGGGACGCCGAAGAGTGAAATATCACAAGAAACAGTCGAATTTGGAAGATGATTTCCGAGAACCCAACATAATCAAGAGCTCATCCCTCTCTATAACAATACTATTCGAAGAAATCCTCAAGTAAAACCGACCCCGCCCACACACGCGCACACACACACAGACACACACACAGACACACACACACACACACGCACGCACGCACGCACGCACACACACACGAACAGGCACAGACACCCAGGCAAATATCGAGCAGCGGAGACGATCAACAAAGGATCAGGCCGGCGGCTCCATCTGCCGGGCGTTCCGGGAGCCTCCTCGCCGCCCGATCCGTCCGCCTCCGCCTCGGTTCCGGTTCGACCCGAGCTGCGACTGCGAGCTAGGCCGAACCAAGGCTCTCCCCCCGGCGACGCGAACTGCGGTTCCCGCCCCGCGAGCGAGGCCTGCAGCCGCTTGCCCGGTCTTTCCCCCTGCCGTGCCGTGTTGTGGCGCCGAGCCCGCGTGCCGCAGCTGGTTTTGCCTCCCGCGTTTCCGCCGTACTCAGTTGAGTCGAGCCGCGACCGCAACCTTTCCGTCACCACCGCAAGTTGTCTCCTACTCCTCGAAGAAGCGGACGGGAGATCCCGGTGGGAGAGCAGTACGCCCCCCCGGCCGGTCGCGGCACCGTCGCATCAAGGGGCGCGTTGTGCGGTTCGATGCCGATGTGTGGGGAGTGAGCAGCGGCGGCAGCAGCCATCTCGGTCGGCTCGTCTCCCGTCGGTGTCGGGAGGAAGGCAGCGGGAAGTCTTTTGACCGCTGCATTGGCGTCGGTGGCAGTGACGCCCGTGCCGAGGCGACCACACGGCGGTTTCCGCCGCACGCAGCGGACAGCGGGGCTCTACGGCGGTTCCGGTGGCGACACGGAGCCCGGTGTCAGGCTTAACTTCGCATGGAGGCGTCCGTCTCATCCCGTCGGCGCCTTGCCTGACTGAACAGGTAAGGAAGGCTCGGCACGGGTTGCCTGTTCGTTGCGGCGTCTTTTGGGCTTTCGACGTTGCCGCTGCGGCGATGTGCGGTCGTGACATTGCCGACAAGAGGATGCGGGGTATGGCTGCCGTGAGCGCGGCTCGCGCGAACGTTTGCTTTTTTATGTGTATTATTTTTGTTTTTTCTTCCGATAGAGGCTAAGATCTCGCAGGTCGGATGTTGATCATATGTTATTGGAGTAGCAGCAACGAGTTTAGACGTTTTAACTTAGGTATTTTTGTTTTCGAAATATCTAACGTCTCTCTACTCTGGAAGGCGACTACACATTTCGTCGATAAAAAAAGAGTAACCGGTTTCTTTCGTTCTCGGCCTTGGCGGATATCTTACAATTAACACAGCCTTTTTAGTTTGCGTGTATATTTCAGTGTATTACAGAGATGTGACAATCAGCACTTATGTCAAAACTATGCTGTTCGCTCGGCTTCAAGCGCGATATTTGTTGGTGTAATGATCAGACATTGGTGTTCCCTCCTGCAAGATAGCACGTTAATGAAAACGGTCAATCTTTAAAAAAAAATCACGAAATATTCTGTTAAAATAAAAACTAAGAAAGGAAACAAACAAAGGCGAGGAAGAACGGAAAAGAAAACATATCAAGATTGTGCACTTTTTTTTTTGTATGTGGTTGCATATTTTGGTCTGTCGCACACGTGTAAAACATCAATTAGTTTTTTTGTTTTTTTTTAATGAGAAGGAAGCAAACGTAAAATGTGAGTTGTTGTGAATTTAAAGGATAACGACGAGAGCACCGGTGTTGTACTGGGAGTGCCAAGTATTTTTGCTGATTAACTTGGCGGTCGCGCGTTTTCGAACACGAGTTCAGACCGGAAGCTAGTGACGATGTCCCACTAAAAGTTATAAAAATACATAAATAAAAGAAGCAATGATCTACTCGTAGTCCCGTAGTCGAGCGTCGCAGCTTATCTCCAGCCCAGCCGGTGCAGATCTACAGCGGTCCAGAGAGAGCGAGATAGAAAGAAAGAGAGAGAGAGAGAGACAGCGAGAGAGGAGGAGTAGGAGAGAAGGAGAAGAGAAACGCATTTTGCGAGGTTATTGATCGCGAACTGTGGAAGCGTGTCGATTTTGAGCGGACCAACGCGTGAAAATTCCGCGGAGAGAAGAGACGACGGAGACGTGCGGAACCGACAACAAAAACAACCAACGACCAGCGAGACTTCAACGGGGAACGGGAGGGGGGAATAGAGCATTCTTGGAGGACAAAGAAATCGCGGAGGAAGCGCCTTATGCGAGCGCACAATCGGGCCGCTTCTTTGGAAGGAGGTGTTTTCTGAGCGCGCAGGCAGTGTGCGGACGTCGGCGGCGGCGACGCTGGTGGTTAAGAAGGAAAGGGTGGAGGAGGAGGGTGGAGTGCTGCGGTGATTGGAGGAGTGTGATTTTCGGCTACCGGTCCTCGTTCGAGCCTGTTGCTGAATAAAACGCCCCGGCGATGGGAAAGCGGACGCGCTGCTAATAACGATGTTTGCCGGCATTGATGGCGTCGCTTAGAGAAGGACACGGAGATTTCCCGCGGAAAGGTATTGTCTTCCTCCATAGTCCCCTACTACGTAAACAACCGTGTTTCGGTTAGATCAGTTTTTATTCCGGGAAATGTGCCAATTTCTTCATATTTCCATAGCTTATTAGGATATATATATATATATATATATATATACTAATAAACTATGGAAATATGTATATATATATATATATTATTTTGTCATAAATAGCGTTGGGAATGACCTGTTCTACTCGCGTGTTTAGTCATGAAGGTTTTCGGGCATCTAAACAACAAACATTCCTATTTGGAGTTGACCGCCTGTAAAGCTCTCTTCGCCGCAGACATATCCTGGATGAGGGGAAGCTAGTTTTAAATCTTTAGAGGCTACATTGTTTTAGACATTGCTTATTGCTTACCTTGTGTTTATATTCGATTATTCGATGAAATAACCTGATTATTTGAATATAAATTAAGCCGATGTAAAAATATAGAAAACTATCGGTCTTTCTTGTCTGTGCTTTCACCTAATTCCCGGAAAACTTCCTCAACCAGTTCACTGCCTGTAGAGCTTTCTTCGCCGTTTAAACACATATAACGTGGGAAAGCCGATCTACACTTTCCAGGGGTGAAATTGTTATTATTATTGCTTATTTATTTTCCACTTTTTACCATTGAGCGTATAGTAGGGCGAACCATGCTTAAGGTGTCTTGCATTTGAATATAAATGTGACGACATACATTTGTACACGTCAAACAAATCTAGTTTAAAAAATAGGGGAAAAAATGAAAGCCGTTTACAACTCTCAGTAGCGCCGAATTAGAACGCATCTCATGGAGGAGGATGAGGGAAGGGTATTGAAGGGAGGGTATACCCCTCCTCCTTCCTCCTCACCTCCTTATCCTGCCTGCTACTCCTTCCTCCGAGCGGCATCGCCGTCGCCGTCGGCGTAACCGTGAGGTCACGTCACCCCACGAGGGTCACGTGACCTCCCGGGAGTCACCGGAAGTCACCGGAACTAACTCTAGCTTTCGTCGAACTCCTTATATTCAAATATAATTCGTGGCGTAATTTTTCTACCACCACTACTTGAATGTTACGTATTTTCTTCTATGTCTCTCTCTTTTAATTGGTTTGCGTAATTTAGACACCGACATACTCAATTATACACATGTAAATAATTACCACTTCACTGCTTAAGAGAAACACTAAAAAGCTAGAGGCCTTGCAATCAAAGAAACGTAATGCACATAAGAACATAAAAGTGAGCGTAACTTCTTATGCGCCACTGACGAATAAACTATGTTGAAGAAAGTAAAAAAAAAAAGACGGTAATATTTTTAATATTGAAATTGCCAGTTGAATGGGTCATTTGAAAGATAGTTCCGGCTCTGTCGCCTCTTTATCAACTAAATTCTGAGTGGAATACATGACCGGCACGCGCTACCACATACGCATATGCAACACACAGAAATAAAAAAAAAATCGAGCTTGAAGTGTGGTTGTGCTTAACTTCCGTGAAGTAACAGCCATGAAAGTCCAAGAAAGGCATCAAGTACAGCCTCTTATTATTTTTTTGTTTGTTCCATTTTGTGTTTTAAACCTTCAAAGTGTAATCCATTGAAAAACATGGAATCTCATCCAAACACCGTGGTATTATTCTTTCCGACGTAACTCGAAAGAATGAGTTGGTGCTTATATCGGTGGGATTTATTAAAAAAAAGAAAAGAAGTAACTTCAACGTAACCCAAAGCGACCCTTGTTTAAAAAAAAACGTGAGCCATGGTTGCAAGAACACTCGAGGAACACTAACATCAAGTTTATGTTCACGCGAGAAGCCTCGAATGATGCCAGTTTACAAAAATATAATACAAAGCGATACTTTTGACTCAAGCTTCGTCCGGTCTTAGTTTCTCAGACAACTTTAAATATCGTAAGTTTGGGGGAAGTCAGAAAAAAATACGAATGAGTTAGGAGGAACCAGTTGACTACCTAAATTTTGAACCTTCTTGAATAACAAGTTAGTGCTGTTCGATTGTATTCATAGGTGAAGGAGAACAAAACATGGATATAAATATCGGACACGAAATGGTTTCGGAGCTTAAGATAAAAGATATAAGTACGTCCAGTGTCGAAATAAGGTCAATAAGAAACGACAGAGTTTGGGGTCTCTGAGTTATGGCGCGCTTAAGTTACTCTTTTAGCGTGAACGCCAATATTGTACTCGTTGTAAACGAGAGACAACTCGGGATGTGCGTGTCGTAACAAGACAAAATAGATATTTAATTTTTATGTTGAACCACAGATTCGAAGCAGTACAAAAATACAAAAAAAAAACATGCAAGCAGTCATAGCTTCTCAACATATTTGTTTTCTTCTTAAGTTGTTGTGTGTGCTTGTCTTTTCTTCGGTTCTGTTTTAAGTCTAAGTCAACTGCGGGAGTCGCACTCCACCTTGCTTGCGTTTTCATAATTTTTTCACTGCATTGGCCAGTTTTCTTTTTTTTTAATTTTAATTTTGCTTACGCTTGCATTTACAAAAAAAAAAGCAAATAAAACACGTGTATAAAATTGATGACTCGAGGTATTATACCTAAAGTTTGTTCCAACTCACATTAATTTTAAGCAGAAAAAAACAACACAAACGCACATACGCCCACTTTGAAAGCACAGTACTATGCCTCGCTACAAACCTTCAAGTGAGGTTATTGACTGACGATTACTCTCACATAAAAAGATTAATCAGCTCACCGGTTATTACGGTCGTAGAAGGTGATGTCGTGGCTCATGCGTCACGGATAATTTTCATATTGTCCTCGAGGAAACGCGTGATATGGAAATAATTATAAACTTGGGCGTTACTGGTGGGTAACGCAGCAGTCTCATTAGCTGCGGAGAAATATTGGGACCTCGAAAACGTTCGTTCCCTGCGTTTCTCAATGTGCCAATGACCATAGATGTGCTGTCTCCACAAAAACACTGAACTACCACCGGTAAGAAACGATGACGCTTCTTACCTGCTAAACCCGCACCAGTCTTTGGGTATTCGTGAACACTGAATGCTTTTTATTTATGTATTTCTTTACTTGTTTACTGTTTCCCCAAGGCGTTACAGAAAGGAACAGTTGGAACCACAAGAAAACACAAATTAGAAACGCTCAAGAAATGACTAATAACTGGTAAATCACTTTTTATTTTTTAAGCGAAGAGTCTGTGATGATGTCGAACAATCCAGAAAGGTTATTTCAATCCTGCGATATATAGGAAACGACAAAGGAAAGGTTGTCGACATAGAACTTGGAATAAAAACTTGGCGCTGGTAATTAAGATGGCACAAACACGAAAAGGGCGGGTGCCTAATTTGTCGCCCAGGTAAGAAACGTAAAAATAAAGAAAGACTGGAAATCTTTCCTGCGCGAAGCTAGTTTATTGCAAAAATCATATAGTGTATGAT